CAGTTTCTCCCTGTTTATACTTTCTTTCTGTTGCAAGTTTCTGTCTCCGCTTGTGAAGAACTTGCAGGAGAAGAGTTACAAATCGAAGCCAAGTTGTACCATGTTAGTATATTTAAGTCAGTAACCTTGACACTGCTCACACAAGGTAGTACCGATACAGTCTTTTTTCCCTTCAATTTGATTGTTATTTTGTACACCTTGTGAAAAATCTTAAACTGACATGTGCTTCGGCTGAAATGTATTTCCTCAGGACTGTTTGTTTTCCCTGTTGTTTGTTAGGGATGAACAAATTCTTGAACTAGAAATACATCACAGATGGACCAAACAGGGACAGATCAGATTATTTTTTTTTAAATTATTTTATTTGGTTCTTCATTGCAGTGGTGTGTCGTTTGTGGTTTTGGGTTGTGTGGTTGTTTTTTTTTTTTCCTTCTTTCTTTGAATAATCTGTCAGATGACCCATGCCAAGGATATGCAGGGAAGTCTTTGTGAAAGCATCTAATAAATTTTGGTAGGAAGTCATTGATCTTGCATTTAGACATCTTGTTTTGCTCACTGAGATTTGCAGGTCCTTCAGCAAACAGCAAAAGTGACATCTCCTTGACTGATGCAGCTTTCTTTAATCCAAGCTGAACAATAAAGTTCTTTTACATTAATGGATTAATATGACAGAACATGTCCTCTCTCCGTTTTATGTTTGTGGTTTGGGGTTTTGTTTTTTTTCCCCTTAAGGAATTTTACATTGTCATGTAACTGGTATTTTCCGCTCTTCCCTAAGAGTTTGCTTTTATTGCTTCCTTTTTTTAAGGAACAATACCTAAACTTGCAGGTATGTAGCTTTGAGAAGAATGGAGAGGGTAGAGGAAAAAGCTTCAGTCTGTTTACCTGCAAGTCTTCCTTCTTTGTATACGGGTGTGCCTGTCATACTTCCCTGTGAAAGGAGGTCGAGGCTACTCCCAAATGAAATCACGTTTTCAGCTGCACTGATGCCTCTTTACATAGTGAACAAAACCGTATGCACTAGGGATTATTCCCCCTGATGTTACCTTCGTGTATTTAATTGTTAACGGGTGTAATGGCTGACACACACTAAGGATGCCAATGCTTTGCAGAAAATCTGTGGTTTCAATTAGTTCTTCTGTTAACAACTCAGTGTTGCTCGTTTGGGCTGATGGCCTAAAGTTAATTTTCCAGAGTTAAACATTCGCAAGTAGAACATCTGTATGCGAATGAGGGATCAGCAGCTTCTGAAGCGTGTGAGTACTTTGGTTTGATAGACACAAGTTGGGGCGGATTGAGGAGTGGCGAGGGTGCTTTCATGCTTTCTCCATTACTCATGAATTCCAGAGGGTATCTTAGGACAGCACTCGTGCTAGGCATGAGAGCTCAGAGTAAAAGAGAATGCTGCTGGGTTAAAGAAGGTTAATATTAAAAGTGTTGGCAAAGGAATCCAGTGGGTGAACAAATCCAGGGTGTGATTTAAATGTATTCTTTGCAGAAATTAAGATTACTGAGTGCTTAAAAATTGTAATGCCCAAGAAGCATGAAAGGGGAGACCTTGAGATGCAAGTAATGCCTTGAATTGAATTCATAGGTTACTTTTGTGGGAGAACTAATGAGACAGGTAGCTTTTTGTTTTGAAGAGCTAACAATTTTATTGTTCATAGTCCAAAATGTTAAGGAATTTTGGACGTTCTGGTCTCAAATGCCTGGCTCTCCTGACTGCCATTAACAGTGTTTAAAAAAAGAAAAGTCACAAACCCCAAATTTTCTCTCTGCTTAGCATACATGTATTTGCTTGCTTATTTTTTACAGTAAAATATTAAAACAACAACAACAAAAGTATGTGACTTCATTATTTACCTGGGTCACTTTTTTGTCCTTTCCCTGTGGGTAATCTTGCAGTACATGACAGTTTGACACGAAGTCACTTCATATTGTTTCACAAAGCAATATATTTCCCATGTCCTGTAAATTGTGAAGTTTTATGACTTTCCTTATCATAGTTCAATTGGGGACAGGGAATTGTCACACTAACTGGCAAAAGCAATGTATATTATGACACACCGGTCGATTCGTGAGTTTGTTTGCTTTCCAATTTGCCGCTAAAGGCTGAGTCATTCTCACTGTTATAACAAATACATATTAGATAAGTTATCGCAGCAAAACTGTTTCTCGTCGCTTGCAGTTAGTGATAGCAGAAGTTTCAGACTCTAAAGTGAAAAACAAGGGCTTTTTTTAAACATTGACAGTATTTTAGACTCAAGTGATTGTATGAAACACTTCTGACATTGAATATGGCTGCTCGGTGTGTGAAGTTGATGAAAATTGGTGTCTCCCCAGACTTTCCAGAAAGTGCTGCTGGTCCTCTTTTTCTTCAGGAACACTGATGTTAAAAGATTCCTTTCTTGATTTACCTTCAGCAAAGAGAACAAGTACCTATTTCAGTACCTTATGAAAGAAACTATAGGGTGCAAATTTATGCTTCTCTAACTGCAAAATTATCTTTTCCAGGAACAGATGGCAACCAAGTATGCCCTGAAAAAAACCTGTATTGGCCAGAGAGACCTGGGAACTGTCCTAAACTTCTAACACTAGGTTTTTTAGCTCAGTATCAGATTACTTACATTATTTATGTGCCTGAAGACCTTTTCATATCTGAGTCTAACTCCTCGTGATTTCAGTGACAATCGACATTGCTCTAGCTACTTGGTCTCAATGTTTTCTTCATTCGGAATGAGTTTCAGTAGCTGTTTCGCCCAGATGTTGAACAACAACTAGTGTCGGGGTTTAATTTACATGATGCTTCTCAGCAAAACCCCTTAAATTAAAACTTTCCTGTTATTAGGAATGCTGTTACAGGATTGGACCTGGATCTGCTTTCACTGCTGCTCATGCTCCGTGAGAGCTTGGTAGGGTTTATGTGGTACGTGGGACTTTTTTCAAGAGGGTTGGCTTTCAGTGGAAACCAAATATCTTCCTCTTCCAGCCCGGCTTTGCTTTTGTTTTGTTCCTTTTTTCTCCATAAGAAAGGAAATTACAGAACCCTTATTACATTATTTGGTATCTTTAACTCACTGTTTTGATTTTTGTGGGTTTATCTTCCTGCAGCAAAACTGTTAAATAAAGACTTTGCCAAATATTAGGTCACATTACTTGATACATGCAGTATGGTCATATAACGTGAGACTCGTAATGATGACTACACTATGGTTACAGTAAAAGGATTGAGAAGCTGCAGTGCCTAATCTCAGAGTTACAAGTATATTTGAATTCTGTAGTTTTGAGTACTTTCATGCAGTGTAGTCACTTCCATCTCATGTGAATGAAGTTTGGCTTAATTTTTAGGTGTGTTACAACCATGGTGCTACTGCTTGGCAGGTACTATGTTCTGATTTCTGCTTAGAAGGAGCTACCAAAAAATTGCTTCTTCCCTAAGTAGGGGTATATGTGGAAATAAAGATTTTCAAATGTTTGCTGATATGGTGAAATCCATTCTGCTTATATGTGATATACAAATATTTAACTGATTGAACCGCAATTACTTTAAACTATTTCTCAGCTGGCTCAAAGGACAGTTTCTTGCAAGTAATGCAAACTGTGGAAAGCTTTATTTGTTAACATTTAAGGGGGGAGGGGAGTTAAAATTATCAGCAAAAAGCAAAAAATGCACTCAAACAGTTGATTTGAAACACTTTTAATCTGCTGGGTTACATTTTCACAGTTAACACTTTATTGGGAAAACTGTTTTTGATATTCTATGTAAGAGAGGTGAAAGAGTTTGCAATCCAGAGGTCTGACTTTAAATTCTAACTTAACCAGGCTAAATCTGGATAGGAATGGTTGCATTTAAAAGTTTTTAGGGTTTTTTTTTTTTTAGACAGCAGACATTCATTGAGGTTAGTTGTGTATTGGACTGTTGGTAGAAACTTACTTTTTTTCTTTTCTTTTAAATTCATGGTACAACTTTTTGCAGATAGGATATTGTCACTGCAGACACCTGAGTACTGTGGTGGCAGTGGATGAGTTGGCCCGGAAAACTTTCTTCTGATCTCTTTCAAAAACCTGAAATGATTACTACTTCTGCAAATGCATGAAGATACAGGGAGGTGCCGTACAACAAACCGGCCATGTGAACCGATAGCTAATCAAGCTAATCAGGCCATCCGTTAGCAAGGTGGCCAGTTTGTTTCATGCGCACATCTGCGTGTCTGGAGACCCAGAAACCAAACCACCTTCAAGGGGTCTTTCAAGGCAGCTGCGCTAAGTGCAGCATGGGAAGTTAAATACGTGACTGTACTGGGAATCGTTTGATGTCAGAAGGTTATTGCAGATTACTGTTCGGTGTCTGTTTTCAGTTTCTCACTTCTTGACTGAAGAGGATGTTTTTGTTGTACATGTAGGCTTCTTTCGACAAAGGTTCAAAGACCTCCTATGTACAAGACAGAATACAAGCCCAAGAATGCACTTGGAGTGATTGAGTAAGATGGGCTAATGGTCTTGTCTAAAAAGTCTTCTAAAAATAAAGTTTGACGCTACTTTTTGAGGAGGAATTCTTTGCATTGGAAACACAGAAGAAAAAAAAAAAAAGACAAAAAGATAGCTGTCTGTGAACTTGAGTCTGGAAAATGAGTATTCTTATCACAAGGAGAAGCACATGCTACCTAATTATACACAAGACATTTTTCCTCTCTTGTAGTTCATTCAAGGGAGGGAAGTCTGAAGGATTAGTCACTACTTGGGAGCAGCCCCACCTTCCATACCTTAATTAACAGTGTTCCTCTCAATGTGTTTCATGCCTTTGTTGTAGACATCTCTGTTCAAAACCAGTTTTTAACTCGAAAGAAAACACAGATAAACAAATTCTTTTCCCATTATTTCTAACTTAATTTTTCTGTTGCTTATGTATGAATTACTTAGGAATTAATACAGATAAAATGTAGACTTTTTCCCGCACATACAGATAAAATTAATTATTGTGTTTGATTCTTTGACTCTAGGCTATGGTGGCTTGTTATCCAGGCAATGGAACGGGATACGTGCGCCATGTTGATAATCCAAATGGAGACGGAAGATGCGTTACATGTATATATTATCTTAATAAAGACTGGGATGCTAAGGTATGCAATAATTTCTTTCTTATAACTTTTTTTTACATACGTCTGCTAATGCACCTTTGTTACAGGTCTTTGTTCGTGTCCTTTATTTCTGTGCCTTACTTGTGGTCTTACATTATGTTAACTGTAGGTATCCTTTGCCCCCCTGATTCTGCTGTTAGTGAGAGCAGGTAGAGATGAGGTGTTTATTTTCAAGGTTTTGAATGATGCCAGCAGGATCTCTTTGACAGTGAGACTGAAGGGACGTTGCATGTTTTTCATGAATGTTTCTTAATTATACATATAAGTATCTGCTAGTATCCAAGTTTCATAAATATCTAATTATGCAACTTACTGTACATTACTTGTATGGTACACCCCCCCCCCCCACACAAAGAGTAAATAAAGAACATTTGAAAGATAATGGCTTTTAGTTTATTTCTCCTTATATTCCTGTTGAGACTTGAGTTTACTGTTTGTGCAACTAGATTACTTAACTGAGTATGCTTATAAAAAGAAAGATGCTGTAGCTTGGGAGCAGTTTCAAATAAGCCAAGTGTGATGGTTATTGCTACATCAGTACAGTTCAAAGCAGCACAAGTCTTTGTACCATTGTAGATACAGAGTGTAGAATAGATAAAGGTTTAGAACACAGTTGAAGTGGTCTAAGAATTTACTACGAGTGACTCGAAACTCTCCATAGATGTAGTGACTATGATAAAATAACTTTTTAATACAAATTTTCCTAGCAATTCAGTGGAATTAGGTAGATTTGAAGAAAGGATGTAGCTAACCGGCTGTATTGAAAGCATGAGAGAGTAATGCAGAGATAGCTTTGTTTATTCCTTGATAGCTATGCAGTTAACTATGGAGAAGTTTATTCTCATTGTATATGGAAAAAAAAAGATAAAACGACTGATACTTCTGTCGTACTTAGGAAGTAGCATGTGGAAGAGCACGTAAGCAGTAAGTTTCTGTGAATTGGGTGCACCAGATATCGATAACACAGGTTGCAGCTGAGAGGGGGTTTTTTTTGTGTTTTTTCCTTTCTTCTCTCCTGAGTGCTGTACATTTCTTATAAGAACATACAATGAGACTGATAACATACTTGCATAAAACTGGTAGATCGGAAAGCCAAGTCAGAAATGGATGCGCTTGAAACCTTCTCTTTCTGACTTGCCCTTTGAAATGTCAAATTTAATCCTTCAATTAGAAAATAAATTACTAGCCTTTTTTTGCCATGATAGCATCTTTGCATATAAGTGCACTGGTTGGACTGAACATCTTAAAATGCAGCTTTGGGGCATTTTTAGTTGATTTATGATTTCTCTCCTGGAAGAAAATGAATACATACCAGAGTGTAGAAGTCAAGCAAATTGCATTTTCACAATAACTGAAAAATTTACTAGCTGGATATTTAATTTATGAACAAAGGTATTTCATTTCCTGCAGAATCTATTTTAAATTACAAATTAATATATTATCAAGAACATTCATTAGCAAAGAAAGAAGCTCAAACTTTCTTTAGGAGAACAAATTCATCTAAATTGTCACTTCTTGTTCACTGATTTAGATCACAATTATAAAACAGTCATTTATATCAATTTACCTTGTTAGTACTTGCGCTGTTATGACTTAACCATGAAGGCCTATAGTGGCTATCTGTAGTTAGATTTCATCCATACCATCAGTAGGAAAAGTTAATGTGACTTAAAAATGATTAACCCCACCTAGTGACTTAAAAATAATTAACCCCACCTACTTGTGCTGTTTTCTAGGCATGCATAGGTAGGTCCAACTGTTTTTTGAAGCCTGGAAGAGATCTAAATTCACCAGGGGTAATAGAGATTCAAGCTTTAGTTTGAAGCTTCCTAGTCTTTCCCCATCTTAATTACAGAAAAGTAACATAAACTTGTGCTGCTGTTAAATGAAACAGTCTCTTTAATGGGAAAGGGTGAAACTTGCATGTGAAATATGGTGTTTCTCTCATCTGTATTGGCGTATTTTTAGCCAACTGTGTAATATCAGTCAGTCTTGTCCATTTTTTGCGAGTAGGTAATGCAGCTAATAAACAACAAGTCTAAACCCACAGCTTTTTACTTAAACATGAATAGAGGTTTAATATGTGCAAGCATTCTGAAATTACTCAGTGAAAAATGTGCAAAACGTTTTGTTAAATGGAAGGTATCAACAGAAAAGCCATAGATTCATAATTTCTGTAGCATCTGATAAAAGCTTTTATTTCAGTTCCAAGCATCTGAAATATTTTCAAATGTGATATTTGGTACTTCTAAATGCAATGAGGCATTGTTTTCAAGCACTGGTTTTAAATATTTAATTTGCAGGTAAGTGGAGGCATCCTTCGGATATTTCCAGAAGGTAAAGCCCAATTCGCTGATATTGAACCCAAATTTGATAGACTGCTATTCTTCTGGTCTGATCGCCGCAACCCTCATGAAGTACAGCCAGCATTTGCTACAAGGTAGGACTAATGGACTCTGTGTATTGCATGATGCCTCTCTCTTATCAAGAAATGAGCAAATCCTAATGAGAAATGAGTGACACTATGAATTATGACCTGATCCCAGGTCTTTTCATGTACAGTTCCAGCTGCACTATGATGAGAAGGGTTTTTTTCTACTGATTGATTAGTCTTCTGCTGTGCTGCTGAGTTTGTATCGATGTCTGATCTCTTATTTTGGAGAAAACATCCTCTTGGGTGGGTAGGAGGGAGGACTGGAAACACCAGAAGTTTCTGAGCATGTACTTGGCAGAACTGGGTAGGAGCATGCAGAGCCATAAGCAGACACCACCTTGGCCAAGGGTTGTTGTCTTCACTATTTCTCCGTAATGGCTTTATGGCTTCTCCCTTCCCTGTGTCCTTAGCACCTTACTATGTTACTGGAAGGTTAAGTACTCAGTTTTATGTCCCATCTTGTTGCGAGGGAATCATTAGAAAATAGTCATTTTCAAACTAAGCCACAACTTTCTAGTTTTGGGAATTGGGAGAGGGCTGTGGGGCAGAAACGACCATTGATACACAAATCTTTTCTTTCTTTGGAGTATTAGAGTTGCTGCTCCCAGTCTGAGTCACAGGGGGAACTTCATATCTCCTTTGTCCCTCAGTGTAGGGCAGTGGATGATGCTAAAGGTACCTGCATTCAATGCCCCCACATCTTGAGTGGCGTTTCCAGATAATGTTAATAGGTGAATCATTGGAGTCGTTGATCCAGGCTTCCTGTTGCCCATGTCGCAACGCGTTTGGATGGCCAGAGTGCTGAACCTTGGCTGGAGCTGCGAGATAACACCAGTACCTTTGCAAGAAGTAACTTGAATTGCCATCGGCGTGTCCTCTTGCAGCCTTTCAGGAGGCTGTACCGCTCTGCCCTCCCCCTTTGTGCTCCGAGCAGAGTCAGAGGGTGAAATGCCATTTACTAAAGCTCCTTAAAGTCTTTTCTCAATAGCTGGCATTTCATATTTAAATCCTCTGTGGGCAGTGGAAAACCAGAGGAGCTGAGTAAGAAGGGGTAGTTAATTATCCCTTACGGCGAATGTCCAAAAAAAGAGGTTCTTGCAGTGTAACTCAGTGCTGGACTTGACCGAGTAAAGTAAAAGATGAGGTCGCAGGGCAAGGTGATACGGACAGAGACTATATTACAGGTTCTGGGTGAGACCCGTAATAGCAACTCATCAGGAAAAAGAAGTGTAAACTTACAGCATCAGTGTCACCTTTTCAATGACTGTTCAAACGATACCTACTGATAGAAAAAAAACCAAAAACAAACTGCTTGCTTTGTGTTTTATGAAATCTTTCTTCTGTCAGACTGCAGAGGTATCATCTCATTTAGGCTGTGTTTTATCTCAAGTGCTTCACTGCTTTTTTTTTTCTTCATAGTTCAGGAGTTCTTTTTCCATCCGTTTCCCTAGGTACGCAATAACAGTCTGGTATTTTGATGCAGATGAAAGAGCACGAGCTAAAGTAAAATATCTAACAGGTAATCTTGTTAATATCTTCTGTGTTCTTTTTTGCTGGAAGAATAGCTAGGTAGCGCAACCTCATCTCCTTGGCCCACCCTGTGCACAAAAAGGGGGAGAAAACCAGCGTAACTTGGAGTCAGGTTTTACAGGGAAAGGTGACCCAGTGGTTGAGCTGCTAGACAGTGACTTGGGAAATCCAGGTCAGTGCCTTGTCCTGCTCGTGCTTCCTCTGAGACCTGAGGCTGCGCAGTGTTTTTATATGGGGGATACAGCTTCTCCCTCGTCTTGCCTCCCTAATAGCTGTGGAGGATAAATACACCAGAGACTGTGAGGTGCTGCAGAACTGAGAGCCCTGGAAATAGTTTTGATCGAATATAGCGATTCAGCAAGTGAATGCAACTTAACTTGACTAGAATCTGTACTGGAAAAACAAAAGCCTAAAATTAAAATCTGGAATCAAAGAATGGAGTTACTTCCTCTATTTCCAATTCCACATATCTAGCATCTGTTTTCCTTTTCTGGCTTCTCCCTCAAGAGGAAGTTGATCTAATTTTCCTGTTCAAATTAGCATTATAAGGAGAAATGGCCTAGGACTTCTGTCATGTTTGTAATTGCCATCACAATTTTGCGTTTGTTACAGTAGTTTGAAAAATAAACCAAAATCAGGCGTACCGCAAGGGCACGCAGGCACACGGCCAGTTTCTCCCTCGTTTTGTCAAGAGCTCTGAAACCAGTGGTGTCGAAGACATGTGCCAGTCACTTCCAAATGAGATTTCCATTCCTTGCTGTTAGGCAACTGGAGCAGGAGGCCCGTCTGTCTGTCCATAAGCTAGGCTTCGTGTCCAGATCGGAGCTGTTGGGGTTATTTCCACGCAGCTTCAGCTGCTGCTGTTTCAGAGAGAGTGCAGGGAAGCGGTTTGGGTGGGCTTGTGTCTGCAGGGGAGGTGTCCGTCCGTCCCCTCTGTCCCCCGTCTCTTTCCAGGATCCCCCTAAACTGCAGGCACTTAAGGAGGGAAGGCTGGGTTGGAGGGCATATTTAAATCTCAGTATTGGTTTGCCCTGTAATTGATTTATACGATCATATTGTTGTGATTTCCATTTTCATTTGCAATTAAAATTGCATTCTTTGCTCTGTATCTGCAGCAAGAATTGTGCAAGACACTTTTTATTTTCTACTGACAATAACATTAAAAAGTATATATAAATTATATATGTATAGTTTATATTATATTTATATATAAATATAATATACTACGTAAGTTATAGATATACAACTATTCATTTTTGGCTTAGTGTCAGTCTAACTAAAGCCATGCAGAATATGTGTGATTTTTTTCTTGAATATGGGATACTGTGTCTCTTAATGTTTTGACAGTCAAACTTTTATTCAGGGGGATCTGAAGTTATCTAGGTCAATTTTTAGAAAAAAGGACAGAAGAGGTGTGGGTTAGTTGGTGGTTTGGTTTTGTTTATTTTTTAGCAGCAAGTCAAATGGAATGTTGCATTTTAAAAATCCCTCAGAGTTTCTTTACAAAGGTAAATACCCAGAAACTCTGGATATTCTGATGTACTAGACAGTCTTCAAAGTACTCTCTTAAAACTAATCTAGAAATTAATGTAGCAATTCTGTAGACTGTACTTTGATAAATGTTGAAAATAATACCAATTTCCTTTTCATATTTCTGCAGGTGAAAAAGGTGTGAGGGTTGAACTTAATAAACCTTCTGACTCAGTTGGGAAAGACGTTTTATAAGCCTTTGATTTAGCAACTCCCCTTGCTATTCTCCCTGATAAATCTTGATGCTATCTATTAACTTTTGAATGTGAATAACAAGATAAAGGAAAATCAACAACAAACCAACATTTTAATAAAGAAGCAAACAGTGTTTCAATGTTGCATCAAATAGAAGGTTCTTTGACTGCTGAAGCATTGTACTATGTGATTGTGACTCCAGGCCTGTGACTGCTTATGTGAAGAAGATAAGCAATCAGTAAGAAACAGCATATGCATCTGGACATAAATAAGTGCCCTACATAGAATTTGTCCATCCTTATATTTTGCCAGACCTGTCATCCAGCTGAATCCAATTCATCTCTCCCTTTTTTTATATGGTAAAAGTTTGAATTTTGGGTAATTTTTGTATGACCAGGTACAGTTTATCAAAATTGAGTCTTAAAAAAAAAAAAAAAAAAAAAAAAAAAGAAAAAAAAAAAAAAAAAAAAAAAAAATTACAGTATTCTCCAAAATAACATGGATCTATTTTTGTAAAACTGTTCATACTGTTCTCCTCTGCCATGAAAGACCTAATTTAATGTAAGGGTTGCCAGTAACTGATAATCACTTTAATTTTCTTTACACCTTAAGTCAGAAAAGGAGCACTTTAATTACCAGCTAAAAACCTGATTGTTTTATATCATATCTCACACTAATCTTAACTTTTAAAGATTGCTGCTGTATTGTTTTTTTGACTATGTCCTCTTGAACCTTATTAACAGAAGCAAATCAGTATCTTGCTATTAGTAACATTCAGTTTGTGGTTTTATGTGTTGAATCCACAGAGGGGAAGTTTCTGTCTCTTCTTTGTTTTTTGGGGGTTTTTTTGTTTGTTTTGTTTTGGGTTTTTTTTTTGTTTGTTTTGTTTTGTGGGGTTTTTTTTAAGTGACTGGCACTAAGTGAACTTGACACTATCGGTTGCTGTCATTGGCTTTGGGGACCTGGTAAATACCATCAAGTTACAAGAATATACAAGGGCTTTCCTAGGCTATTAGAGGTACCCAGAACCTCCTTACGTACTTGACAGAAAATTTTGAGCTTTCTCCCTTTTCTAAAGAATACTTGCCACCGCCCTTTCCTTTGTATATAAGTTAATAGAATATCTAAAATTCACTTTTTTTTTAATTTCCTTTTCAAATGTTGGTGTCCCATGCAGTCTGTAAGTTGACACCTTGATCTATTATATAGTATCAAGGAGACGGTCAGCACACTGAAGCTGAAGTGCATCACTGTAGGCTCCTTGTGCAATACATCTTTAGGTTTTTGCTGTGCTGAAGGATTTCAAAAGGCACTGCCCTTTGATCAGTACTGAGGAATATATTTAGTAAGAAAACATTTACTTTCTTTTACATTGTTTTCATTTTATCAAGGAGAGGGGACATCACAGAATAGAAGTGAGATGTGCAGAAACTTTGATACTCTTATTTTTAAGAAATGAATGTTTTGGACGCTGGGTTTTTTTTATTTTTTTTCCCCTCCTCTTCTTTCTTTTTTTTTCCCTGAGCTTTAAAAGCTTGAGAAAACAAAAGCAAACCGATGAAAGACAGCATTCATATTTATAGGAGTTTGGGGGTTGATCAACTTATCCACTGCAGTTTTCTATCTGTCCCTTATTTCCTTACTTAGCCAAAACAATGTGAGTGTACAGAAATATTTCTGTATATATTACAACTTGTGACAATTTTAGCATCTGTATAGTTTGTATTCAATTAGAGACCTTTTCTATGGAAAGCTCAGTAATTTTTTATTAAAAAGATTACTATTGTTCATGTAAAACATGAAAAAGCTAATTGTTTAGTAACAAACTGACAGAAGGGGGGAAAAAAATCAGTATTCGTATATCATTTAGGAGAACCAACAGAAATCCCAGGGGTTTTTTTACTTTGCTTTTCCTTTTTTTTTTTTTTTTTTTTTTTTTTTTTTAGTAAGTTCTTGCCCTTTACAGTTCTCTTCCTCTTTCCTCTTTTCTTCCCAGAAAAACAGACAGGATACCTTTACTGTAAGTGCCTCTGCCAACCTGGCCAAGGAGTGCAAATCTTCATTACTGTCTGGTCTGCAGTGCATTTAGGCTACTAATGAAACAAGCAAAAAAAGCCACCTCTTCTACTTCATCTTCTTTAGTGCTACTTTATCGGAGGTTTGGTTGGTTTTGTTTTAGAAATGTAAGCATAAGCCTTTAAACTCATTTCACTCCCTCTGTAATTCAAACTTCTGCAGTTACATGGCGTATCAAATTCTAATCACACTGTAGGTTTGTGCTTGCCAGACAGGTTTAAAAAGTGCTTAATTTTTCACTCCATGTAAGTCGTTACAATAGGGTCAACCAATCAGGTCAGCCATTTCTTCCGTGTCCTTTAGAAACTGTTCATTTCATGTCGGTTGAACATTCAGTCTTGAGCATCACCAAGCAGGTCCTTGTTTTAAAACTATTTTTTAAACTGTCTTATGATCTGTATGTGTCTAGTCCTGGTTAAAGATAAAGCTTCATAATGTTATTTTTATTCATGATGTTAGCTGGCTGTGAAATATGAGACCTTTATCTATAGCAGGCGAAGAAATTCAGGATTCATTTACAGGTTGCCTATAAAGTTGTGTAATTTGAAAAGCAGTGTTCATTATGAAAGAGCTCTCAAGTTGCTTGTAAAGCTAATCTAATTAAAAAAAAGATGATGTATAAAGGTTCTTGAAAACTATGTGGTTATTTGTAATCTTTGTAACTTTTAAAACTACTCCGTAGCAACTAATTTATAAATGCCCCCTGATAAAGGGGACATGTGGATTTTTGGTGGGTTTGTGGGGGTGTTTTGTTTTGTTTTGCTGTGGGTTTTTTTTTTTTTAAATCAGAGCTATTTCTGCTCTGGAGAAGGATCTGGGGTTTGGGAGGTTTTTTTTTTTTTTTAGACCGCCTGCAGTTACCTGGGTGTGGTGATCATTTTCCTGATTATTTTCTCCCTCAAAACCAGCACCAAGTTTAGGCTGGCTGGAGAGTGATGAAGGACATAGAGGCAGCTCTAGTTTATTCACCACTTTGTTGAGAGGTACATGGGGTGCAAAATGAAAGTCCTCTTCAAACAGGATTTGTAAGGTTTAGTGGGAGCTCTTCAGTTGTATGTGGCTCCCACTGAATTATGAGCCCTTTGAAGACGGCAGAAGAATGGGTAGAGTCTACAGATGCCAACCCGTACTGAGATGCCACACCATTTCCCTAAGCTTTTTGATGAGCTTCATAATGACTGTAATCAAGGAAACATCTGGCTGGCTGCGCTTCTGCTGTTTTTCTAACTCTTGTGAAGCCCCCCTGCGTGTGCTTGTCTCTCTTGTGATGGGTCAGGAAGAGTTACCTGGATCTCCGGATGAGTCTGCCAGCCTTAGTGCACTTTTCGTGGCACTTGGGTACCTGTTGTGCCCAGTTCTGCTCTAAGGTGATGGTTCTTGCCAGTGTGTTAGGCTGAAACCTAAGTGCAGCAGCACTGAGCTGATCCCAAAGTGCTTTCAGGCTTTTTCCATGCTTCAGTGCTGTATAACTTCTTACATGTTCTCTTGAAATAGCCTCTTCCCCATCTTTGTTTTACATTGAACAAGGAAGAATCTTTTCTAGCACTTGCAACCATCCTGAGTAGACCTGATTTTTATTTTTTTTTTTAATTATCGCATTGTTGAGCACAATATGCAGGGGGTTCATTATGCATAGTGAAGTCAAACACTGCACCAGGGAAAGAGGGAGTCTCTCTTGGGGGTTTCTCAAAAGAAGGACACTTGCAAACCTGAGAGGAAGCAGCTGACAGCCTGTATCTTCCGTGAAACATCTGGCTGTGCTGACCACTTTAAGGTCAGGAGTGGGAAGATGACATCTCTAAGTCATACTGATAAGTATAATCAGGCTGGAAAGTACCATTTTTGTGCTTGCTGAATGCTTTGAAGAAGAGGGGAGAGTGCTAAGTGACAATAGCAAGCTCAAAGTCTCCAAACCCCACAAGTCCAGCGTGTGCACCTTGCTGGCCAGCGTGCAGATAGACAGCTGCATGCACTTGCAAATATATAGTGGGAATTTAGCAGTACTGAGCAGCAAAGACTTTGAAGAAATTCGTGGGACTTACTGGATTTGGATCTCATCTGCTTTCTTTGGGGTGGGGGGTATGGATCTGCAGAAACTTGGGTCTCCCATCGTCAGCTTTCATATAAAATACTCCCTTAGATTTTTTTTTTTTGCGGATGTTAAGTAAAGCTTGAATGTAAGTAATTACTTCAAATGCGTTGAAGTCCGTTTGTGCGTTACACTGCTGCAGGAGCTGTGTTCACCCTGGAGCATCTGCTGAATCTGAGTTGCCTGACCCTGTCTGGTGGGGTGGGTGGCAGCTGACAGAAGCAGGTTCAAGGTCCTCTGTCCTACCAGACAAAACCAGTTCCAGAGAATTTGCTCTGTTGACTTTTGCTACCGCCCACTCGGTTCCATCAAGTGTTTCCCCATAGCTTTGAAGTTGAGTGAATATACAGCACATTTATCCCTTTCCTGAAATAATTAAAAAAAAAAAAAAAGAAAAAAAGCCCATGGCTCCCAAATGGACGAGCCAGGTACTAAGAGTTGGCTATTAAAGTGGAAGGGGCAGATGAGATGCAAATCACCAACCCACTGGGGATAGACTCAAGTCCTCAGCAGGACAGGGAGGAAGGAATGAGGTGAACAGGAATGGTAAAGTAGGATGTCGAAGAGACTGATGCATGAGACCAAGATAAAACAATATGGAACATGCCAAGTAAAAAATTTGCTATAGGTGTTTGCTTTGGGGAGGTACGAAGTGGGAAGAGAAAGAATACACAATATGTTTGCCTCAGGAAAGACAGTTGTTGATGCATCCCATCCATTCTTTCTTTTCACAGATGTGTGTTGCAAAATAGGTTATTTTTATCTCTGCAGATGAGAGGTGCGTAACTTTTGGCTTGAACCAGGAGTTGGTTTCCTTGTCTGTCTTCCAGTTGTAAGTTGTTGGGCTTTGCGAATTTTTTTTCGCCTTCTTATTAAATGTGCAGCTCAGGATTGAACTATTGGTAATAGTTTATGGGTTCTTCTGGAGAATTTACTATAACCACCTTGTATATAATACGGTGATAAATGCTGGAAAAGGCGACCAGCTCATTTAGCCTATAAGCCCAGTACCAGCATCTTCAGGTGGCTAAAAGTTTGCAAGACATGCCTCACACCTGAGTGAGGGGGGGATGTAAAACACACAGATGAACTGACAACTTGCAGGTATCACACACAGGTGCCTCACTGCTTCAGGGCAGTGTCTAAACTGGAAAGCCATGATTTCTTTCAAATGCAGTTGCAGGTGGGAAGTAAAATGTCGTCTCTGAATATTCACCATGTGGATCCAGTGCTGCTTGTGGGACTGTGTGTGTGTCAGTGTGGTTTGCTGGGGTGGAACCAGTTCTTCTGGGCTCATTTCAAGGGCTGTTAGGGTTCAATTTTATTTTTGCTTTTAAATAAAAGATGAATCCACAATAACTGAAATGGAGAGATTTGACTCCTACTCACAAACAGAAAGCCTAATACCTGAATATTGTATTGAGTTGTGAGCTGGTATTTCACTACCTAAAGAAAGCAAGTGTCAAACAAAAAGCCAAGCAAAAAAAAAAAATGACCAGAACTATCTTGAGGCAGGTCACTTGGGTTGTAAATGTATCTTGCTTACATTACTGTATGTAAGCAAGCTTTGTAAAGCTATTAATAAAGATTACATTATAGCAGAGGACATGGTGGTAGCTCTAAGAAACATAAGGAAACTAGAATTTTGGAGCTTGATTAATTGCCGTTGCAATCCTGAGAAGTTTTTCCATACAGTGAAGACAGGAGTGAATGTGTCAAAAAGCCCCAACGAACCACTAGCCAGCAACAAACTAAACGGCATCTCCCCTAAACCTGACAAGTGTGGTCTTGGCTGTTGGTGAGGGCAGTACCTTGGGTTACTGGAACTGAAAGACATTTGAGAAGAACCATTTTTATTTGAGCACTTGGCAACATCCTTGGGCATCAAGGTGGAAATGTTTTTCCAAGGAAGATGATTGTGGACAGCACTAACATTTGGCAAAGGGAATCGAGGCCATAGGTATTAACAGAATCTGTTTTCTGCGATTAGAGTCCAGTTGATGGTGTTCCCAATAGCAAAGAGCAAAGTTTGAGCTCTCAGATTGGGCATATTTATTTTCCCTTCACTTTCCCTTCCCCAGCCACAATGTAACACTAAGTAATGCGGTGCTGGGTGCATGTTCTGCATTTTAATGAACAAGCAAAAGCTGTAGTAAGCTAACTCTCTCCAGTCTTAAATTTTTGTTGTATCATCTAGAACACTTTAAGGGTATGTAGGTAGCAATTTCTAAACTTTGATTACTTTTCTTTTTCCGCACTTACACTCTGAGAACATTTTAGTCTTTAAGAAACCCCTTTAAAATAGCACAAGCAGGAAACAACTGTATATAGTTAAGAGTCGCTGCAACTTCATAACCATGCAATGTCACGCAGTGCCATAACCTGGGAAGGCATGCATTTTATGGTAAAAAGTAGGCTTATACAAGTCCAGGAGAACACAGAGGGGAGGTTTTGTGTGATCCTTGTTGTGTGTGGCTCAGGGAAGGTGCCCACGGGCGCGGCTGTTACTGGGGATGGAGGGATGCAGGGATGGAGGGATGCTTTGGGAACCGGCTCCCAGGGACAGCTGGAAGCAAGAGCGAGTGACTGGGTCCCCCTGGTGTCCTCACCGGGACAAGGCTGCTCCGTAAGAGCAGAAAAAGGCGTTTTTAGTGTCCTAGAGAAGACAAAGACAAGTCGCTCTATTTTAGGGGGAGGATGTTGTGCTGCACAAACAAAAGTTAAAATAACTTGTAGCAATCAAAGGATGTGTATTTTGGTTGGGAGGCTGGTTTTGTTGTTGATTACAATGGCGTAAGCTCTCATCGAGGTACTCACAAGGCAGCTTTATCTACAACTAAAAACATCCACCGGCGCAAGGATGGAGTAGTAGGGGAAGTGGTTGGTTACACCTCCAGTGCTTACAGTAGGTTTCCAAATTTGCTCTAGTTTCCTCAGGCGAGAGTGCACGGAGAACAACAGCTCTGCTTCCGACCTCCCCGGCACGTTCCCTTGCCATTTCTGCTCCCGCATGCGCGTCGGGGCCTCTCCTGCCCCTTGCTAACCCGGCACTTTTGCATCCTTCCAGGCTGCCTTAGCTCCCCAAGTGTTGTCCCATGCGCTGTCAGCCGAGCTGCCGGCTTTCGTGCTACACCCCTTGTGCGGCTGTCGGATTAAATTAGAAAATACTTGGCTGGGGAAAATGTTTGCGTTTAATTTTTTACTCTGAGATGAAGGCTGGCAGCAGCCTGGTGCCTGCCTTTCCAAGGTGGTCAGGTGCTACCTAAACCCTTGGCTGAGAGTTGCAAAAAATGCCTTGAGAGTAGCTACCAAGTCATGGGCAGCAGCGTAGCCTCTGGCCGCGGCTCCCACCTGCCCTGAGCTGGTGCTGCTCCACAAAAGCTCAGTGTGGCAAGCTGCTGACCATCTCGGGGAAGCAAACTAATCGTGAATTGCTGAGGGTGCTTCTCTTTTGGCAGAGGTGGGGGGATTATACATGACGCAGCTGAACCCTGGCAGTTCATGCGCCATACCCTTCAGCTGGCACTGAATTCAGGGTATGTAACC